ATACAATGCAATCCCAATCCAAATACCAGCAGCATTCTTTAACGAGATGGAAAAACTAATAATCAATATTATATGGAAAGGAAAGAGGCTCTGGGTAAGCAAAGCATTATAGAAAAAAAGAACGAAGTAGGAGGCCCCACATTACTTGATCTCAGAACCTACTATACAGTCACAGTAGTCAAAACAGCCTGGTAATGGTACAATGACAGACACGTAGACCAATGGAACAGAATCGAGGAGCCAGATGTAAATCCATCCACCTGTGGTCACCTAATCTTCAACAAAGGCCCACAGTCCATTAAATGGGGGGAAAAGACAGTATTTTTAACAAATGGTGCTGGCAAAACTGGATGTCCATCTTTAAAAAAATGAAACAAGACTCATACCTCACACCATATACAAAAACTAATTCAAAATGGATCAAAGGCCTAAATATAAAACATAAAACTATAAAGATCATAGAAGAAAAACACAGTCAACACTAGAGGACCTAATACACAGCATAAACTGGATACAATCTATAACTAACAATACACAAATACTAGAAGATAAGCTAGAAAAATGGGATATTCTAAAAATTAAACAGTTATGCTCACCAAAAGTCCATTTGGTCCAATCTACTTTTGTCTTAAGTTATCAATAGCACAGATAATAAATAATACATTATATGGCTGTCAAAAGAGTTTTTTGTTTTGTTTCATTTTATGCTTTTGAAGTAATGCAAGATCATTTTACTTACTTTTGAACTTTTTCATTAGCCACTTGGGAGGCCTCTATGGCATGCTGAAGCTGTAATTCCATGTTAGCTCGTTCTGTCAATGCTTGCTGCAGTTGGGTAGCCAGTTCCTCATTTTGTTGTTGAGTGATGGAAACAATGTTCTCTCTGTTTTTTAAAGCTTCTTCATAGGTATTAAGAGTATGGTTAAACTGATCCTTCAGATTTTCTTCTTGGGATAAAGATTTGTGTAAACTAAGAAAATACAAAAATAAATAATTTAAATATAATGTATTGGCTGACTTATTAATGATATATTTAACACAAATCTCAACTTTCTAAAAATCAATTCAATAAATATACTCTTTCAAGTATATTTTAAAAATATTTATATAAGTAAATAAAAATAATTGTAAAATCA